CAAGGATCATTGCAGTTTCTCAGTTCTCATCTGGTGCTAGTACTTGTATGACAAACGGTATCTTGCTCTGTTACTGTTTGAATATCAGAAGTTTTTCGCTGGAACAGTTCTGTGATTGACGGTGTTCTTGTATTAGGAATACAGTTGTACAAAGAAGTTTATCCAAACAGACACAACACTGACTCTTCAACATATTTGCAGATCTGATTTGCATACTTGCATGTCATTTCACCTGTTGTACTTGTTTGTTGCTCTCTGGTGTTCTTGCTGAGAATGCCATAGAAATCATGTTTGCCAATTTACATCCAAACCAAAAACTGGACAAATTATATGTTGCAACTTTCAGTGTCATTCATGCCCTGTTTGATTGGATAAAGTTTTACGACTTGGAGGTCATTTTTTCCCTCAAAAATCTAAAAAAAACAAGCTTTTTCTAGCTGTTAACAGCTTTTTCTCAGATATGTCATCCAGTTTTGTTCAAAGTTGGTACAGGGACAGGTAATAATTGTTTACAAGTGCACATCGCATTATATGTTTAACAAGTTATAAATTGTCTCAGAAAAGCCAAATGAATAAATTTTTACCCCACCCCCTAAAATTGTAACATCAATTCTGAACATTTAATAACAGAATTTTAATACAGCTCATAATGAATTACCGGTAATTCACTCTGACACAAACTAAGTTCAATATAAGTTTTTAAATTTTTTTCTGAGCGGGGGCTATGACATGACATGTCATGTCTTGTTACAACAAAGTTGATAAACCTAAAAATTGGTCATTTTATTTTATTTGCAGCTGCCCTGTCTGTATGTATGTCTGTATGTATGCATGTCACTTTTTTGTTCCACCTTTATCTCAAGAACCACTAATCAAATTTTTGTGAAACTTGGTACATAGATGCTCTGGGATAATGCGCAGAGTTGATTAGGTGATTAATCAATTTTCAGCTTTTCTACTGATATCTCAAGTACTAATCATAACATTTCAATAAAACTTGGCACATAGATGTCATATGACACTGCACAGACCTGATAGTTTTTAGGGTACATATCAATGACCTAATTTGCGTAATTAATTAATTTTCAGCTTTTTATATTTCAAGTAGTAATGATCACGTTTCAATTAAACTTGGTACATAGTTACTTGAGGACTGTGCAGAGACCTAATTAGTTTTGTGATAAATAATTGTGCATATTAATTACTAATTTGCATAATTAGTTAATTTTTTGCTGTTCTATGGCTGTACGAACTGATGTCTAAAAAACCACTCATTGGATTTTAATGATATCTTTAAAGAGTACCCATCACATTTCAATGAACCTAGACTATACTTGATATCATGCACTTTCGGTGTAATAACACCCGTGTGATATTTTTAGTATTACACACTTTGAAAGTGACATCACACTTTAAGTCTGTGATGTGATTGGCCAATACAGCTAATTTCACCTTTGACCTAATCAGTAAAGTTAGTACTGAATTATGCAACACTTATGATGAGACAGATTTTAATGACAAATTATGTAGAAATTATTACATATTATACTTATTAGATTTTTAGATTCTATATAATCTCTGATTTTATCGCTGTTGAATAAACAAAGAATTGAAGATATTAATCACAGTCTCAATTCTCCCAACCCGAAAATAGTTCGGGCATGATAATGTTTCGTCTGCTGTCAATCGTACAAATTTGCATCTCAAAGTAAACAAACCTTCAGCTGATCGAACGTTCGAAATCATGATACATATGGGCGACTTAGTCAATACTTTTGATATAGACGTGACAGAATTTATGAATGACGAGCAAGAAAGACCAAGTGAAGGTACGTTTACGTTTTTTCTTTCGTCAGAACTGATAAACTGAGATCATGATCACTCGGCGTATTGTATGATCGCATAATGCATTGGGTAAAAATACATCACAATACTGCGAGTACTAAATAAAATGATTCCACAACATGAATTTATTTTTATATTTATAATAACAAATGTAACATTTCTTTTCGTCACAGAAAATGCGTCCTTGGGTGAAGCGACAGCACAGACCACTGACAGCGACGGCGCCGAGGCCGGGCCTTCACGACCATGTAGATTTGTGCCAGTCACCGATGACGATGTCAGACGAACAATCGAAACTCAACAAAACAAAAACACAGCCAAGAAAACTCTATATGATATGAGATTACTGGGCAAATTTTTGAAGACACCAGAAATAAACGAAGCTAGAGAAATCCACGAAATCCCTCCAAATGAACTGGAAACAATTCTATGCAATTTTTTTATCAGTGTCCGTAAACCGAGCGGTGATGACTACGAGCCTACTTCCTTACGATCTATGCTTTCTAGCTTTGAACGTCACCTGAAACGACACAAATACATGTATTCACTGATCATGTAGTATTGAGTTTAATGAGGTGCGGGAAACAATAAAAGCAAAACAGAAGAAATTAAAGAAAGATGGTAAGGGCAACCTACCGCGAACAGCTGAGGCGGCTACAGATGAGGAAATCGAAATTCTGTGGGAATCGGGACAGTTTGGGTCCCACAGTCCTGAAGCCATAATAAATACCATGTGGTTTTATAACACAGTACATTTTGGTCTGAGGGGTAATACCGAGCACCGTAACATGTGTTGGGGAGATGTGAGCCTATGTACTGATAGTAGCGGTCGTGATTATCTTGAGTTCTCTGAACGGCAAACTAAAACTCGGACTGGAGAAAATCCAAGGGATACCAGAAAAGTGAAGCCAAAGATGTGGGACGTCCCTGCGAATCCCAGAAGATGTCCAGTTGCTATTTTCAAAAAATACCTCAGTTTACGACCAGCTAGTTACACAAATAGTGACGACCCATACTACATCGCCACGCATTCTCGCGGACTGCCCAGACCGGGTGAGCAGTGGTTCCGTCACCAGCCTATCGGAATTAATAAAATAGGTTCCCTGATGAAAAATATGGCAACTGCAGCAAATTTACCCCCAAACAAACGCCTCACAAATCATAGTGCCAGAAAGCATCTCATCCAGAAACAAGTCATTGAAAATGACACAGTCCCCGTTAAATTAAGTTCTCTTTGTGCTCGTCACATTAAAGCGGAGGGGTTGTCGCGAGCGTGTCCTTGACCTTGAGTTCCAAGTGACGTATACAACAGGTTGTTTATTTACATCAAAACACGTGTTCCGTGTAGTAGTAATATGGCCAAAAATAAAAACAGCCGTTATTCGGCCATCTTTGATCTGATTATGAAACACACTGATATGTATGATGTATTTGACAAATACGAATGAAAATGGTACATAAATTGTGGAAATATAGTAGTAAGTCAAAAAGTCAGATGGCTGTCAATCGGGCCATCCT